ACATCTAATAGGTTAGCCCCTTTAGTTTAATGAGAATTTGGATTCAGTCCCAGAATCAGTTATTCCATGTCCTTGTGTTATTTTCCTAAACCATCAGTATTATAAATGCATGAATTTCCTCCATACCATTCCATCCTCAATAGTGAAAAATAATAGCAATGACAGAACAAGCAAACATTAACTGAAAGTATCTGCCATACTGACAGTGGCCTCCCCTCTTTAAAGATGCCATTATACTGTTTGAAATTAACTGTCTCCTGAGTAAATATACCCAAGGTTAGATTATCAAATCATATTACTTCTAATGATCAATATTCCTTAGAAATGGGCATGCTGCTTATATTTAAATGAGTTTGCCTCTGTTTCTTCCGGCTTGCTTGTGAGTTACTAATTAGTGATATTATTCATGTTTCAAAACAAATCAATGTGTTCTTTAGACCAATGCTCAGGATTCTTGTTTTGTTGTTGTTGTTCAAGATCTCCAAGGTATGACTCATGTATAATGTCTTGAATTTTGAAGCATTGTCCAAAATAATCATTATGATTCATGTCATGTAACCAGTAAGGAATGATTATTTCTTCTTCCTCTCTATCTCCTAGAGAGGGCAGGCAGATAAAATGTATTACTTCTTTGAATAACTCATGTATGATGGAATAGAATAATACTGAGGCTGATGTTCACTTACAGCTATGCGTGGAATAGTAACAGATCCTTCAAAAGTCCACATGGGAAGAAATTCTCATTGGACCCCATTTGTTGGGGAAGAGAGACATTGGAAAGATGAAAGAATTGCCCTGTGTTTCTTACTTTTCCTTAGTCATTCTGACTCATTGGTTTATAGTTGGACTGGAACCAGTACATAATATAATATATAAAAATTATATGGTGTATTAAGGCTTAAATAACAACTGGTGGGGGAAAGCATTTACCTAGGCATCTTCAAAGAGGATCATGATGATACAAAGACATTTTAAAATTAACTTTGGGAAATTATGGAATGATTTTAGGACAGTGATAATTGACATAATCACATACTTATTATGTGCCTACTGAGTATGAGTTACAGTGTTAACCACTCTAGGCCTCTCTTGGAATAAAACTGGCACTAACACCAAAAGTGCCCTTTCTGGCTTCAAGGAGTTTATAGTAGCTTACCTGTATATATATTTTATATATTTTTTATATTTCATTAAAATATTGGTTTTATTTGTTTTCTAGTTACAAAATTAATATGTCTTACAGCACAAATTATTAGTAATTATAAGTGTAGCCCATTTTTATAAGTATACACTATATTTTATTTATGTGATTCCCCTATTGTTTGATATGATGTTATCATTAATCTTTCTGTTTTGTTAGAATAAACAATGATGTGATGGACATCCACTGAAAGTAAAAGTGTTGAGTGAAAAACCAAGCACATTATAAAAATTTTCGTACATATTGGCTAAAGTATGTTCCAACATAGACTCTACCAATTTTAAATTTAAATCTGTCTTGAATTCACTTTGGTATTGTTTTTTTGACACAAGGATCTTACTGTTTTTTAATAGTCAGAAAATTAACCTAGAACCATTAGCAAGTTCATCTTTCCCTTGGCAATCTGAAGTGTCACCTTTATACTAATTTAAATCTTATACTTACTTGAATCTAAATTTTCTATTTTGTTTCATTAATCAACCTGTCTATTCTTGTTGTAGGACCACATTGTTTTAATTATTACAGTTTCAAGACCAGTTAATATTGAATAAATTACTTCATACATTAAAATCACGTTTTTAATTTATTTCTTGGTCAGATTCTTATCCAGATGATAGAGGAGGTCAAAAGGGGTATGATAAGGACATTTTTAATTCAAACCTGCTGTAACACCTTCCAAATATAGCAATCGCACTTCTTGTGAGAATGTCACCCAATACATTCTAAATGTATGCGGACTATTTTTCATAATGTACAGAAATTCTAAGCCTTGGCAAAAAGCTTCCTGTAGTCTATTTCTTAAAGATAATAAAAGTGAGAAGAATAGTAAAATCTTATGCAAGTTTTTATCCAACATCTTTTAATTTTGTTGGAAACACAAAGGCTGTGTGACACAGTAGGTGAGTGGGTAGCAGTTGAGTTTCAGCTTACCAACTTACTAGTGTGTAACTTTGGTTAAACTTCTTAACCTTGTGAGTCTCATTTCCCAGTAAAAGTGGGGATATGAATAGTTTTTAATCTTATATCATTTTTCCAACTGGGCACTCAAAAAAGGTAGATATTATTGTTACTATTACGTGCATTCGAATTCTCAAGTTGTCACAAATAAGAAAAATACAGGTTAGAGGAAGGCAGCTAGCTTTCTGAATATTTAGGATGGGTTTGATGGTGATAGACTCAAATTAGAAGAAAGTCAGAAAGCCATCAACAGAAAGAAAAATAAGGAAATAATTTGTTTTTCAAGCTTTATATGTATTTTCTATTTTTAAAAAAATCCATTGTATAAAGCAGTTTTAAGGTTGTGTGTGTTTCTGACTGTGTGTTCTAACAGAAAAAAAAATACTTACAGTGGTTTGATGGGGTGAAAAAAGAACATAATGCTTAAGTGTGGGGAGTGACTATGCCTGAAGTTTAAAGAACATGGAACCGACATTTCTGACACATTTAAGATATGTCGTATTTTTTTATATCAAATTTCAGATTTATTTCTGTATTCCAGAGGTTCCTTCCGTGATGGTGATTCAGCTGTAGTTAGGCTGTGGTGCAATATTTTATTTATTTATTTATTTATTTATTTATTTATTTATTTATTTATTTATTTA